AGAGGCTCGCATGGGGGCATCGTTGCTCCGTCTTCATTTCCATGATTGCTTTGTTAATGCAAGTTATCTGCCTTTTTTTATTGCCACTTCTATATTGATATTTCCAATACTTTTATCTTCTTCATTTTTTTCCTTAGAAATCTTTCCCTCGCAATTTTTGCATGTTTTTGCATATACAAACACATATATTACAAATTCTAGTTAATTATCCACTAGAGGGTTTTAGATGGTTTTTTTCTTTTTTATATCGACAAGAGGTTTATGAAAAATAAAAAGTATAAGATAAAATAAATGAATAAATATAATAAAATGAAAAATCCCCCTCTCACCTGCAAGAGTTAGCCTAAGTGTACAACAAGATTACTTACTAATGAGAGTTTTTTTTTTTTTTTTCTTGGACACTTATTCGTCGATTTTTATGTTAATGACATATTCGACCTGATTTATTAGAAATTATATACACCCAACTATTTAAAACTTTATGAATTTAACTTAGAAGTTCTTATTGTTACTAGAACAAAAGTGGTGGTTCATGGGATTTGGCAAATACATACCTTTTGATGACGAACGTAATCAAAGATCAATTACAGAAAAAACAGTTAACGTGGATTTTTTATGGTGCACCTAATATTGGTTAGTAACATATTAAAAAGAGAGAGGTACTATTTGGTGCGTAGTGACGCAGGCTTTTCTTTACTTCTAGTGAATTCAAATACCAGATATTTTTCCAATTCTTCCATTCAATAGGAAAATAATAATAACAATAATAATGATACAGCTATCATCTTTGACTTTCTATTTGTACCGAGGGATTCTAGTTTTTCCCTTTCTATTTTTGCATGGACCCAATCACGTCATGTTTACTTGGCATGTAGCGTTTTTCTGACTATACCTTTGAATTATTTGCTAATAACAATATTGTGAATTGAATTAAACAGGGATGTGATGCATCAGTTCTTTTGGACGGTGGAGAAAAGACAGCACCTGCAAATGCTAACTCTCTAAGAGGTTTCAATGTTATTGACAATATCAAGACTCAATTAGAGAGTTCTTGCCCTGGTGTCGTGTCCTGTGCTGACATTTTAGCTGTTGCTGCTCGGGACTCTGTTGTTGCTGTACGAAAAATACGTACCCATGTCATGGATTTCTAGAAATATTTTGGAGTATTCAATTTTATTATTATTATTATTATTTTATAACGACAGTTTCTAAAATATTTTGGATTAATTTGTTTGATCAGTTGGGTGGAGCTAGTTGGGCTGTTCAATTAGGGAGAAGAGACTCAGCCACAGCTGGAAGTGTTAGTGATGTTAATAACAACATCCCTTCCCCAGCTTTGAGTGTTAGTGGCCTTATCTCTGCCTTCTCAAACAAAGGTTTCACAGCTAAAGAAATGGTGGCTCTTTCAGGTAAATATATTATTTGTTTATTTTGAACTTCTTGGAAGTTATAGCCATTAATTTAAGCAGGGAAAAATAATTAAACCATTTTTTAATTTGTATTCTTATTTCTTGTGTGTGTTATTGTTGCAGGATCTCACACAATAGGGCAAGCAAGATGTACCTCGTTCCTATCCCGAATTAACAATGAAACCAACATAGATTCCTCATTTAAGGCATCGACACAAGCTCAGTGTCGGAATACTAACAATTTTGTTCCTTTGGATGTCACAAGCCCAACATCTTTCGACAATGCGTACTTCAGGAACTTACTGAACCAAAAGGGTCTATTACACTCTGACCAACAGCTCTTTAGTGGGGGTTCTACAGATGCTCAAGTTAGGGCTTATAGCTCTAATCTGGCATCTTTCAGGACAGATTTTGCAAATGCTATGGTAAAGATGGGAAACCTTAGCCCACTCACCGGCTCAAATGGTCAAATCAGGACCAACTGCAGGAAGGCCAATTGAAAATTATATTGGGCTCAATTGTCCCAATAAGAGGATATGTTTTGGTGTGGTTTGAGTAAAACTTTAGAATAAAGGGATATGTTTTGAATGTTATTTTGCTATTCGTGAAAGATTGCAAAACTTAGTTGCTCTAAGCAATTTTACTCTTTTTGATTGAACAAGAATAGGGAAAAAGTTTCCAAATGTCAATTGTTATTATAATCTCAATCAATTTGATACGTGATATATGAAATACACGTAATTGGATTTTTGTTTTGTTTTGTCTTGTTTTTTTTTTTTTTTTTTTGGTAAAAAATGAGCACAATATCCTTTCGATTATAAAGAGATCATTATACGAGTAGCAATCTCATAAATATAATTAAAAAAATAATGAGACAACTTGAAAGACATGATTTTCATATTTAATAAATGAGCATAGTTAACAAAACAGGAAAGTCGATCATATTATAACGAAAAATTGAGAATCTATAATCACTTATAAATATAAAAAAACTCACTATCATTAGGCTAAAAATCTATTGATTAATTAACGCTTCCACTATGTTTACAGTAAATATGATGGATCCAAACTACCCAAGAGATCCCGAAGTAATATGGAACAAGCTATTTTGCAACGAGTGTATATATATATATATATATTGGTATTTTGTTGGTCTATGCCACAAAGCAGCAAATGATTATAGAAACTCAAGGGCTTCGAATGTTCGTGGGCCATTCCAATACAGGTTAGTTATGAGCCCAAAGGATAGTTATTGAGAAGAAAACTTGGCCTCAATATGCTATCCATTGATGTTGAAATTCGGACTTAATTTCTTATATTTAATTTTGCACCAACACCATATAAAGTCATCTACTTGGAATTTGCTCAAGCTAGCAATAGCAAACAAGTTTTTCTCTGGTACAAGAAGGGGTAGAACCCCAAAAACCAAAACAATTTCAGTGTAGAAATTCTGGAGGTAGAGACACCACATACAAGGCATAATTAGAAATTCTTTTTTAATGGGGTGTCATCAAGAAAATTGCAAAGAAGAACTTAAAATGAGACAAATTAAAAAGAGGTCAGAGAACCAATATGTTATTAATCGTGCAGAACCAAATTCATAACCGTTATGAAAAAATTGAAATTTTAAGGACCGAAATAAAAAAGAAAAAAAGAAGAAAAGGGGAAGCAAGCCAGGAATATTTGTTGGTATACTTCATTCGTAAGCATTCTAGTAAGTTCAAAATTTCAAATGCGAAATTAAGGGGATTACAAAAGAATCAATCAAAACTGCAAAACTAATAAATCAAACAAGATTAATTAGTATATATTTATTTTATCAAGAGCCTTGATTGACCCAAATGCTCATAGAATTGACCTGCCAGGCTAGCTGATCATTGCTATCGTTGTCCTGAAATGTCGAGCTAATTTAATTTGAAGATGTTGCCGAACAATTAACGTTGACGTAACCAAAGATTACTGGACAAAATAGCGCCATCAAAACTGGCCTAATCACCGCTTTTATGATGAATAAAATAATGAGCATCCATTTTGGCAGTCACTTCAAAAGGATAAATAATTCCTAATTCCAGCTTTGAACTTTTTTGTTTAATTATTATTATACAGGCCAAAATAGATTAATAGAAGACATCAACAGAGCAAAAAGAAGCCCTAATTTAAAAGCATTCGTTAAAAAAATTATAAATAACGTGACTGATTCATACGGTACTACCTTTGTATAGTACAATCACGATTTATGATGAACAGTTAGATGCCACATGGCAAAGCAAAGAGGAAGAGAGCTTAATTAGAAACTTAGTTTGCTGAATCTTCTGGTTCTTGATCTGGACAAACATCTCTAGCTAGCTGTTTCAAAATTAAGTGATTAGGTGCATCGTTGATAAAATCAACACGAGATTCATTTGACGAAGTACATTGCCTAATCATGATTTACTGACTTTCATTAATTAGTAGGGTACTTCATTAGCACCCTTTGGATCAAATCAACCGTGGGGATTTTGTATTATATTATACTACTTTCTCTTTGTTACTTTATAATATGATTGGTTACTTTATAATATGGTTGACATTATTATTTTTTATGTGGACCATGCAATTGCATGTATATATTCCAAAGGCACAAGAGTCAAAGGCTTGCGTACCGGATGCTGTTTATTTACTTTCGAATTACCTGATGCTAAATTATTTTATATAACATGGCAGGCAATGATCACATTAAAAAATAACAATAAAAAAATTTGCTTTTATTTAAAAAAGAAAAAAAAAAAAACAGAGAAGAAGATGGTGTCTTGGAAGATATATTCAACAATGGAAGATATATTCAACAAAAGAACGGGGAAGGTACAAGGAGGTAAATTGGCCTAGCTCAAAATTTTAAGAGGACAAGAAAATCTAAATCCTCGATTTTCTCAAGTGAAAACTCCGTGACGAAATTTCAAAATATGCTATATAAACTAATCTACGCGAGCCTATACCTAAAGAATACCGAAGATAAGTTATGACTAATAGTTATAAAAACACAATTTATCATCATAAATGGCTACTCTGCATGGATGGGGCGAGTGTAGATATATTAGTAACTTGTCTTGTACGATGCATGCCGATATGCCTAGTCGGCTAGTCTATCGACTACTCTACTACCTTCTCCGAGTGTATGACGAATATTAGTAGCTAGATGGAAAAGCCCTCTACATTCTCTAATTATATACGATAATTGCCAATGATAAGATATCTCGGAGGATAAACAATCTAACACCATTATGGAATCTGTCTCTACTATATCTACTCGGTAGCCTTATAGCCTTGCAAATTCTTAGACCATTTAAATCAAATGCTTCCTTTTAGAATTGGTTCCGTAGCCACAATGGTTAGAGTAGGCTATTATCGGATTACCCATGTCATCATTTAATATTCCTCCCCCACATCAAATGTTGTTCCTTGAGGGCTTCGACCTCCACTAACTTTCGCCTCTCTCTCTCTCTCTCACACACGGCTCTCCAGCTCATCGAAAAGCTCTTACCATATCCGACTATCGACAAAAATCAATCTTCCCCCGATTGCGACACTCGCTCTCATCATTTTCCTAATTAGATGTTGAAAGGAAGGAAAGTTTTCGAAAGAGGGGAAACAATAACTCCAAACTACATATTTGGACCACTCGAAGATGATGTAATTATAAAACATAGGCTACTCACTCGTACTACTACTACAAAGGGTGAACCCCGATTGAAGAAACTTCAAAAGAAGTTTGCTTCATTTGTTTCGAAAGTCGAGAAGAATGAGGATAATTGCAATGATTGTGACATACTTTTCAGAGCTTTCTTACGGGAGTTATCTACTCTTGAGATTCCGTTACACAAGAGGAAAGTAGTTATTGATGCTAATGTAAGAGAGAAGAAGGATTTTAATGAGTTGAAGGATGAGATAAATAGGTAGATTTTACAAGCACGAGTTGATATTAAAGATTTAAATAAGCGAGCTTAAGGAGAGCAAAATTGAAAGGCATCATAAGGAGGAATGTGAGGCGATAAGGAAATTGATCACAATGCAGCTCCCGAGGTTTCAAATGTAGAAAGTGATAATGGATTTAGAGAAAGAAATTGCTACTTTGGATGTAGAGAATACGACCGGTTCTAGGTTATTGAAGCTTCGAAAGAAACATTTTGCTCTTTTGTTGCATATGGTAGATAAGTTACAAACCACTATAGAGGAAGATGAGAAGAATTTGATTGAGGAGATAAGAATGACAACTAACGAGTAGAATGGTGGAATTGAAGAATGCTAGTAGTGACTCGAAAGCTATGACTTGTTAATTAGGAGGTGACATCTTTCATGACAAAAATCATGTTTAGTGTATGTACTTATTTCAATTTTTTTAGATAAGTCTCTTCTAAAAAAAATATTATTTCTTGAAGTAATATCTAAGTTCGGCATGTATTTACCTTTTGGAGGAAACTACCACATAATCCAATTGCCCTAGCATATTTTCATCTCCCTAACCCTCGCTCCCAAAGCATTGATGCATATCTTGTCATGAAAACATAAATTGGCTAAAGCTTAGAAAAATTGTTAACGGTTCATGGATCCATTTTGTGATCTTGTATTCGATGATCCGTTCATTCGTAGCTTCCTCTTTAAACACGAGTTATTTCGGCTTTTCATATCTCCCATAAACTATAATTAAATACCATCATGCATATAAACTATTTTTTATTGTGAGGTATTTCTTTCTTCAACCATCTCGTAGTAAGATGATTTATATCCTGCAAACTTGTTGCTACATCCGAGTGTATCTCTAAAATGCTTCCATACTTCCTTAGCCACCTCACCTTGCATGGATATATTACTAATAGTTTCTCCCTTTAGTGTTCTATAGCATTGACATTTAGAGATGATAGAAATACCATAAGCCATGATATTACTTTCCACTTGCTAATGCATTATGAAACATCTTCCAAACCAAGATTTCAATTTTTTCATGGAATCCATCGATTCCAAAGGTTTTGCCACCATTTAAACATAGGATCTTTGAATCTCTTTTCCTCATGGTAATCTTTTATTGTAAGATGGCCCGACTTTGTTCCTGTATATGCCAATTTATTTATAATATTTTATTGTAAGTATATCTTGTCCGGTTCGGTCTATATTACGAGGGGTAGAGCTAAACACTTGAGTCCGTTTTGTTTAGCTTGAGTAATCGTGATGTTCAGTCTCTCATTGGCTGGGAAAATGCTATAAGTGTTTATCTATCTTTCCATATATTGACCTTGTCATCCCCCACGATCTAGATTCAATGGTTTAACAAGTAACAAATATAAGGATGTAATGTTCTTTATATCACAGAACCCTTTCGACCATTAAGATGATCGAAATGCGAAGGCTCCTCATATTTCTTTCTCATAAAGTGGCTCCACAATGATGAGCTTGCTAAGAAAGACCATGCCAGCTTCCCTTTCATCATATGCAAAACCTTTTGGAGATTTCTAATTCTCGACCCATCTTTTTATACATGAAGGGAGATTGCTTTCCAATTGATCCGGTGATGCCTATTTTCTTTCTCACTATTCCAGAAGAAATTGGATACATGGTCTTCCTACCTAGCAATCATTGTTTTTGGAATTGGTAGTACTCCTATGAGATATATAGGTATTGAGGAGAGAACACTTTGTATCGGTGTTAGCTTCCCCTCGATTGATAGTAGCCTTCCCTTCCATCCTGCTACCTTTTCTTTTATTTTTGTTTCCGAGTTTATAAAATACTCCACTCGAGGCCTTCCTTTAAATAAAGGAACTCTAAGATAAGTCATAGATCCGGTAGCCATTGAGAACTCGGTCCAAGTGGTAAGAAAGGTTTTCCTCTTAGTTGGTAGCTTGGTGCTATACAGGAAAGAGCTTTTCTTGGAATTTACAAGTTATCCATCGATAGTTGAATATTCCTTTATAAGGGCTAATATTTTATCCATATTTTTCTTTCCATCAATTCTAAATAACGGTATATCATTTGATAAACATCAAATGATATATGAAGCTACTATTTTCATCTAGTGTAATAAGGCTTAATAACTTCTAATGTGACTAATGCATTAACGTTTCTAGAGAAAACATCTTAAGCTAGTATGAAAAGGGTTAGTGATAAAGGGTCACCCTACCTCACTCCATGACTTGAGATAAAAAAAAAACCATAAAAAGTAGTATTTAGAATGATGGAATACCAATAGTTTGACATATACTTGTGAATCATATCTCTCTAGCTATTAGAAAAACTAAATCTCTCTAAGACTCGAAAAGAAATGCCCATTCTAACCTATCATAGGCCTTTGACATATCCACCTTCAATATAATATTCCCTCCATGTATCTTTCTATCTATGCCATTGAAAAGTTCCTTAGCCAAAGCCACATTCTCATGAATCAACCTTCCCTTAACAAAGCCATATTGTTCTTTGGACATAACGGAAGGAAATAGTGCACCTAGTTTATTAGATATAATACGAGACAAGTATTTTATATAAGAAATTGCATAGACTAATTAGGCATAATTCTTCAAACCTAGCTAGGTTTATAGATTTAAGAATGAGCATTAAATTCATAGTAGTTGTTGCTTTTGGAATTTCTCTCCCTCTAAATATCTCTTGAATGGATAGGATCACATCCTTTACAATAATACTCCAACATGCCTTATAGAACACTTTAGTAAATCTATCTAGACTTAGTGCATCGCCTTCATCCATAATAAAGACTACTACTTTGATTTTCTCCGATTATGGTATCTCTATCGGTGAGTTATTTTGCTCCTCTATCACTAATGAAGGGATTGTGTTCAAGAAATCTTCCTTCAAGGAAGTCCCCTCACTCCCGAATATCCTTTGAAAATAATCCACTATTGCATTGCCTACTTGAAGATCGGATTGAAAATCTAAACCATCATTTATTTTCACATAAAGTTTAAAGTAACTCTTATTCTTTATGATACACGTATGAAAGTATGTTGAATTACGGTTGCATGTCGGTAGCCATTTACTCCTTGATTTCTCCTATAATAGCATCTCTTCTTGCTCTACCACTCTTGTTAACTTTTCTTTCACTTATATACACTTGTCATAGTTCTCCTAATTCCATAATGCTTATAGGACAACCTCCGATTGAATAACCTTGTTTAAAGCCTTATTCATTTTTTGATTCACATCCCCAAATACCTTTCAATTTCAAGTCCTCAATTCTCTCTCTAATGTTTCAGTTTCATTTAGAGGTTCAGAAAAGCATCGCTACTAAAATTCAACTTTTAGTGATCGTCAATAAACTCTTAGAAGTTCTCATGAGTGGTTCCGCATCTTCTTAAAGAAAAATCTAATAGGCTTAGGATTGTCTTTCTCTAATGAAACTAGTAGTGAGCAATGATCCGAATATACCTTGAGAAAATGTTTACAAGTTAGTTTTGGTAGCACGTTATTATTACGGTATTCACTAAAACCTATCCAAGTCGTTTTCGGATTCAAAATGTGCCTTCTTAGTTGTTGCATCATGTAAATTTGTTACTCGAGTAACCAAAATCATGTAAGCCTAACAAGTTAATTCCACTATTGAAATCATAAAATAAACCCAAACTCGATTCGTGATAGTTTCTTTAACTTTTTCGAAAAACTTGTTATGACATTAAAGTCTCCCTCAATATCCATGGACTTGATACACTAAGCATGCTAAGATTATCCCATAATATTCTTCTTTACGTCCTCTTACAGCTAGTATATATACTAGTGTAAAACATACTTTTATCATTCATAATATCTATCACCAAACAAGTTATAGATTATGTGTATACTACATGCATGTTTACATTTAGATTATCCTTCTAAAGCACCTACATGTGCGTATTAAATAGGTTACTATGTAAGTATCTTGGAAAGTTCGAATACCTTACTAACTTGGAAAGTTTTGAACCCATATGTTTAGGTTATAACGAGTATTAAAAAGGAAATTTTATTTTAAGTAATCATGCATTTTAAATACCTTCTTTTTCGGAGGTGTAAATGCCTCTTTAAGTTCTAACTCATACTATTCGTTAGATAGAGCAAAAAATGGTTCCCCATTACGATCCACATCGGATCTTATTACTCTTCATGCCACTTAGTTTTACTAAATCTTTTAGTAGCTTCTTTCTTTGTTTCTTAGACATAAATTTCCCTTGAGTATCCAAATCCCGTATTTTCTCCCGATACTTTCGAGCCATCCATTCATACTTTTCATATACACCCTCATATGCTTGTATGGAGTGATAATTCCACGTTCATTTCATTTATGATAGCCTCATCATCTAATACAAGCTTTAATAATAGACTAAAAGAGTTTTCACCAATTAAATTATATAGCTAAAGTACAGGTGTTAGACTCCTTATAGGTACAATGACACTACTCGTTCTACTCCTTATTATGCAAGACATGATCCTTTTTACTATTTATGTCTTCGATAGCTATTGTTTTGATAATGTGAGACATTTAGCATGTCTTCATTATTCTTCATTTCCCCTTACATTGACAGTATTTCATAGCCATTAACTCCTTAGGTACCACTATGATGACATTGTTGGTCTCTCATCACTCGAAGTCTTATTCATCATTTTCAAGTGTGTTTGCTTATTCCTCTAAGATAATTGACCTTTCTTTCTATTGAATTCATGATAGCTAGGCTAATAAAGGCTCGTGTTACTGCCATATAATAGACTTTATGACCTCTTAGTGAGTTAAAGAAGTAACTGATATATTAGTCGAAGGAATATCTTATATGTGAATGGCTCTTTTCGTTGGTAAGATGATTATGTTCCATAAATATTAGTATTCCTTTTCCTTTTTCGATGTGGTGATCAAGTTAGGCTTGGCTAGATAAGGAAGAGAATCATTTAAACTACCTTTTAGATTCATAATTTTCTTTGGACTCTAACTTCTTGTTACTACTTTCCATTTCCGGACTTATTGGGGATAAGCACTTTGATTATTATTGCCTAATATAGAGGTCTTCATGTCCATCATGCACCTTATTAACAAGCAACTTTCAACATATATTCTTCGATGTCCCTGCAGACTTACGGTGTTTACAAAAGTTTGCATTAGATTCCACCATGACTTATTACTAAAAGCCATTCTTCTTATCTTTTCCAATCGATATCCATACTCGTTATGGCATAACTTCGTCAAAATCCACCTCTACGAATACCCTTGCATAAATAGGGTGAGAAGCCATTTAATGTTCGATCATCCGGTCGATTGAA